GGAAACAGGTGATATGGCACGAAACATTATTTCTTTTCATGCACTTTATAAGGATGGTTGTCGTTTTTCTTTTGATAATGATAATGGTGACATTTTGGTTTATAAGAATGGTTGTTTTATTATTAAAGCTAGTCCTTGTAAAGGTGTGTATGAAAGTGTTGTTTGTGATGGTGATTTTGATAAACTAATTATGAATATTGGTTCATCTAATAGTGAATTAGATAAATCATGTTTGTGACATTGTCGACTTGGCCATATAAACAAGAAACGCATTGCCAAGCTCCAATCTGATGGAATCTTGGATTCATTCGACCTCAAATCGGATGATGTATGCGAATCTTGCTTACTTGGCAAGATGACAAAAGCACCATTCACATGCCACTGTGAAAGAGGCAAAGATTTGTTGGACCTCATCCACACAGATGTTTGTGGACCCTTCAAATCTGCCACAAGACATGGAGAAAGATACTTCGTGACTTCTACCGATGATTTCAGTAGATATGGATATATCTATCTAATCAAGCATAAGTCAGAAACTTTCGAGGTGTTCAAAGAGTTTCAAAACGAAGTAGAGAACCAATTGGGCAGAAAGATCAAGATGCTCTGATCCGATAGGGGTGGAGAATACTTAAGTCTTGAATTCTATGATCATCTTAAGAATTGTGGAATAGTTTCACAATTGTCTCCTCCCAGAACACCACAGTTGAATGGTGTGGCTGAAAGGAGAAATCGAACCTTGTTGGACATGGTTCGATCTATGATGAGTCGAGCTACACTTCCGATATCTTTTTGGGGGTATGCCTTAGAGACAGCCGCCCATATCCTAAACCTCGTACCTACTAAGAAGGTTGCTAAAACACCCTCTGAAATGTGGAGTGGGACACGTCCTTCTCTAGCACATATAAAGGTTTGGGGATGCGAAGCTTTTGTTCGTCGCGAGGCGAATGACAAGCTCGAACCTCGGTCAGAGAAGTGTTACTTCATTGGCTATCCACAAAAGTCGTTTGGATACTTGTTCTACAAGCCTTCGGAAAACAAAGTGTTTGTTGCTCGAAGGGGATTCTTCTTTGAGAGGAATCTCATTTCCAAAGAGGACAGTGGGAGCCACATAGACCTTGAAGAGCTTCAAGAGACAAATGATGAAGAACCTTTAGTAGACACTAGCACTCAACCTGAGGAGCGGCAACCCGTTGAGGAACCTCAACTCGGGGCTGAGCAACCTGTTGAGCACAATGATATATCTCCACCTCCCCTTCGCAGATCCAATAGAGTTCGTGCTCCTCCTGAGTTCTATGGTTTTCATGTGAGCACAGAAGGAGACGTATTGATCAGTGATCGTACACTGGTTGATATGGATCAGCCATCCAACTATAGGGAAGCGATGGCAGGCACTGAGGCTGCTAAGTGTAAGGAAAGCATGGAGAGCGAGATTCAGTCTATGCATGACAACCAAGTTTGGAATTTGGTTGATCCTGCTCCTGGCACTAAAATTGTCGGGTGCAAATGGATCTTCAAGAAGAAGACAGGCATGGATGGGAATGTGCACACGTTCAAGGCTAGGTTGGTTGCAAAGGGTTACACTCAGACTCAAGGAATTGATTATGAGGAAACTTTTTCACCAGTAGCCAATATCAAGTCTATTAGGATATTACTTGCCATAGCAGCTTTTCATGATTATGAAGTATGGCAAATGGATGTGAAAACCGCTTTCCTTAATGGAAAACTCACAGAGGAAGTGTACATGGCACAACCTGAGGGTTTCATAGATCCAAAATATCCAAATAGAGTGTGTAAGCTTGAAAGGTCCATATATGGACTAAAACAAGCGTCTCGCAGCTGGAACCTTTGCTTTCATGAAAAGATCAAGGAGTTTGGTTTTTCAAGAAGTGAAGGAGAGTCCTGCGTATATATCAAAGCTAGTGGGAGTAATGTAGTCTTCCTAGTGTTGTATGTGGATGACATACTCCTTATAGGAAACGATATCCCGACGCTGCAAGGTGTTAAGACGTGGCTTGGGAGTTGTTTCGCTATGAAAGATCTAGGAGAAGCTGCATACATACTTGATATAAGGATCTATGGAGATAGATCAAAACGTCTAATAGGACTGAGCCAGAGTACATACTTGGATAAGATCTTGAAGAAATTCAAGATGCAGGACTCCAAGAAAGGGTATCTACCTATGCAACATGGCACGAAATTGAGTAAGACTCAATGTCCTAGTTCTAGTGATGAACATGAAAGAATGAGTCGAGTCCCATATGCTTCTGCTATAGGATCGATCATGTATGCCATGACATGTACTCGTCCTGACGTCTCATTTGCTCTGAGTATGGTGAGTCGTTTTCAGGACAACCCATGCGAAAGTCATTGGACGACAGTAAAGAACATTCTGAAATACCTAAGAAGAACAAAGGATATGTTCTTGGTATATGGGGGTAAAGATGAGTTGAAAGTTACGGGTTATACAGATGCCAGTTTCCAGACTGATAGGGACAACTCATGTTCGCAGTCAGGATGGGTATTCTTTCTCAATGGAGGAGCGGTCACTTGGAAGAGCTCCAAGCAGTCGACAGTGGCAGACTCTACGTGCCAGTCAGAGTATATAGCAGCTAGTGAAGCTGCAAAAGAAGCTACATGGCTGAAGAATTTCATTGATGATCTTGGTGTCGTTCCGAGCGTCAAGGATCCCTTGGAAATCTTCTGTGATAATGAGGGTGCAGTCGCTTTGACTAAAGAACCCAAAGATCATGGTAACTCAAGACATATACTTAGAAAGTTCCACTATGTAAGACATCGAGTCGAGGATGGAGATATTGTTGTGAGCAAAGTATCGTCAGAGGAGAATCCAGCCGATCCGTTCACTAAACCACTATCAAGGATCAAGCATGATAGTCATACTAGATCTATAGGCATTAGATTTGCTGAAGATATGGTGTAGTTGTTTAGTTGTTTAGTTTGATAATCCTTGAAACATTTAACAGTATGAATTTGTAATGGAATTGATGTTTATTTTGTGGAGACTTAATAAAGTGTTGGATTGCTATCATTTCTATTTATTTATTACTGTGTTTCACTTTTGCATGTTTAGAACCCACTTCCCGAGTACTAAGTACTCAAATCTCCACTGTCGGTCATACTATTGGAAGTAAGTAGTGATTCAAGATTGTCATGAGTGTTGGTGGATTGACCATTTTGATTGAGCATGACATAGTGATTGTGTCAACACTTATGAGTACTTAATAGTGATTTAAGTATTGGATCAACCCGCACTTAGAGATTACTTCATGGATTAAGTCATGAGTAATTCTAAGATGGTAATATTTTCTATTCTTCAAACCGAGATACATGTGGGGCTTTGCTCTAAGATTCTGTTATGCATTGGTATACTCCAATGCTATCCGTAACTGGTGGCTATAACGGGTATATTCATGTGTGACATGATGAAATAGACAAAGACTATGTAGTCAAAGTTTATTCGTCCCTTCTGCCTTAATAGGAGAAGCGATATCTATGGGCCCCTCGATGATTTGGTGCTGACATCTAAAATACCTGGCCGGGTGCTGACTAGAATTGATGTGTTCGATTTAGTAGTCAAATGTAGTCGTCACAAATCTATATCGAGAAACATAATTTTGAATTATGAGATTGACCATTATCCATGTCTCGAATTCATACAGATATCATGAGGATGAAGGAATAGTTGATCACTTATCTGAGGGCTGAAACTGATTAGATCAGAATTCGGCAAATGCATTAGATGGCATTCTCTCTGTTGATTATTAGATGGATATAAGACCATATATAGTTGATGACTTGTCCAAGTGGGAGACTGTTGGAAGTGTGTCCAAGGTCATTAACTAGTTGGTGATATTTCTAATAATAGCAGGGTCCTCTTGGGTTGCCCTCAAGACTCAAAGTTGAGCAGAATAAATAATAGGAATGATTAGTTTATTAATTATTATTGTTTAATAATTAATTAGAAACTAATAGGAAAACAATTTGGGAATTAATTAACAGTTTAATTAATAGAAGGGTTGAATGTGAATTAATCAATAGTTGGTTGATCAGGGAACATTCCAGAACCCTAGAATGAAGGGGGTTGGACGAAATCTCCCTTTGGATAAAGGGAATTTCGTTCTTAGCCTATCCCATCCCACATGGATGGAAGGATAAAACCCTAGGAGGTATCCAAGGCTATAAATAGGGCCTTAGGGATTCATTCCTCCTTGCTCATTTTGGCTTGAGTATTCGCCACCTTCTTTCTCCCTCATTGTGGAAGAACTTTCCTGATAGTTCATCCCTCCTAGTTTAATATTTGTTTATACTCTTTGAGTTCATTGGGTGTGAACCAACAGAGAGATTCTGGTTTGGATCCTCATCATCCAAACAAGGTGGCACGCACAAGGAGTCAAGCTCGAAGATCATTAGCTGCTAAAGAGGTTAGTATTCTTCCTTGTATTTTCGGATTTCATAGGGTAGAAGTAATAGTATGAAGTCATAGATCCATACGGTGCATGTACACTTAGGTAAATCGTTTTGTTGTTTCGATTCTTCCGCTGCCTAGTTATCGAGTGTATTTGATGCATATATTACCCAACAATAGCCGGTGACAATGGCAATATGTGAACACATATAACAAGTTAAATGGTCAAATGTGTACAAAAATAAAGAAGTTACGTAAATATGAACAAAGCGATAAAAATAATTACCCTGGTAAGTCATTTTCCCATCATTTAATTTATCAATTATTTATTATCAAACATTTTTTTAATTGAGTCAAGTATCAACTACCAAAATTTGATTTTCAATAAGTCCAAATAGGCGAAGCAAAATAATTAAAGTTACAAGAAAAATAAACAGACTTTGTCCATCATCAAGGCCCGGTTAAAAAGTACATGACTAATGGGTCTTAAGCCCAGACCAACAAAGGCCCATTGGCTAAAGCCCAAATGCGTTGAGTATATATTAAAATAAATCATATCTTTTTGCTTTACTTCCCTGTTTTCGCTCTCTTGAACTCGTGTTCATTCTGATTAGGGTTTTCGTTCATCACGATCGTTTTTCAATTCATTGATTGAATCGCAAGGGCGTAAAATCTCGACGGAGGTGAGCGATATGCACTTGGTATTTGATGTTTGATTCGTAGCAATAAGCTTTCTCAAATTCTAGGGCTTTTTGGTATAGATAAAGGAGAATGTCTCGTGTCTACGTTGGCAATTTGGATCCGCGAGTTTCTGAGCGAGAGCTTGAAGATGAATTTCGCGTCTATGGCGTTCTAAGGAAGTGAGTTGTACATTAATTCGTAGTTTTAAGTGTTTCATCTGCTATTATCAAGCTCTGTTTTCCATCTATAATGATGCGCCTCTTCTTATCTGTTTGACATTGATGCAGCGTGTGGGTTGCTAGGAGACCACCTGGTTATGCATTTGTGGAGTTTGACGATCGCAGGGATGCTCTAGATGCTATTCGGGCACTTGATGGTATGTTCAAAGCATTAATGGAAAATCAAAATCCTATATGATCATGACCTTCTTTAATGGTTCTTGTTCTAACTAGTAGTTCGCTTATCATCACCATGATCATTATGTCTTCCATTAAACAGGGAAGAATGAGTGGCGTGTGGAGCTGTCCCACAATTCGAAAGGAGGAGGTGGTGGAGGCGGGCGTGGTGGTGGTGGGCGTAGTGGAGGTGAGGATTTGAAATGTTACGAGTGTGGTGAGCCTGGTCATTTTGCAAGAGAATGTCGTCTGAGAGTTGGGGCACGAGGTGGAAGGCGTCGTAGCCCAAGTCCAAGGCGACGTAGGAGTCCAAGCTATGGAAGGAGGTTAGTTTATTTGTATCATTATATATGAATATCATGCATTTTAGCAGATAATTTTAAAACTATTAAAGTTTAATTTTTTTTTATAGGAGTTATAGTCCTCGTGGAAGAAGATCTCCGCCACCTCGTTATAGCATATCACCTCGCAGAGGTCGTAGCTACAGCAGATCACCACCTCCTTATCGTCGTTCAAGGCGTGATTCACCATATGGAAATGGGTATTATTTTTTATTTTTTTTCTAAATAAGTAAATATACAGATAGACATGTATTTGTTTGTAAGCTGACATGAAGTTATATTTTCAGAGTGTAAAGGCTGATATGGTGCAAAAGGGTGATATTTTGGTCTTCTTCAAACTTAGAGGTCTCTTTCATACTTTTAGTATATACTCTTAATGACTTTCTAATGCTTTTGTGATGAGTATAATATCATATGTTTGTGATATTTGAAGTGATTGGTTGCTTGGTTGCTAAACATTTTCTTGTATTTATTCTTTTCATTGTGCTGTGAGAGGTTTGGTTATCGGCTCAGCCTTCACCCTCTACTCTCTGCATCTTAGACTCCTCTTCTCTGCACATCATCATCATCATCATCATCATGTTTGGTGGCTTCTTGTGGTTGTTAATGACTACATCAAAACTGCACTTTAAATTGAGATCTTCTTCTTCTTCTAGAAGAAAGCTTTTGATGACTTGACTAGTTAAGACATCTTATTTGGCTGCTGAAGCTGTTAAGACATCTATCTTCTTCTTCTTGTGGCTGTCATTGACTGCTTTAAACGGCCCTGTTTTGTGTTTTTCATGTTGCCCTGCCCTGCCCAACTGCCCGGAAAGGTGAGTGGCTACCAAAATTAAAATTAAAATGTAAAGTCGGTTTTTGAAGGTATGGTTTTGGTTATTTTTGAAAATTTGAAAAGTTTGCATTGAAAATCTTTGAAAAGGATATCTAAACACATTTTGCTTCTAGAAAAATGCATTTTTTTACGACTTGTCATCAAGTTTTTTCTTCTTTATCTAATATTTCTTAATTCTTATTTTTATTTGTCTGTGGTGTGGTTTGGCGTTTACCCTCATTGACTACTGATTAAGTCCATTAAATTGCTAAGCAAGTTTTACAAATATAAAAATGTTACGTATAAGTATTAGTATTCAACCAAATTGTTCTTTTGTTTTTGTTGGTAACTTGTAGCAAATCTCCTTGTTGTGTTTTTTGAGTCCAACCATAGAGTAGATATTTCCTTAGTAATTTCTAGATAGAATTTGTCGAATAATGTAATGAAATGGGTTTACTTTTATGTTGTTACATGAGTTTTATTCGCTAATGTCATGTGTTTCTTAAAAGAAAGTGTAGGTAGGTGTTAGATTGAGCTTAAACGGGGGATGAATTAAAGTCAAAACAAACAATGCAAACCGAACATAAATCTGGAGACAGTCAATGCAGGATAACTTATCATATTCTAAAATTTACCATTATCAAATATAATAATAGAATGGTTCGATACATAACAATAAACTCTTGATTCGAGATAATATTGGCTAGGTAGTAAGGTTCTGCAACCACTATTTCCGTGCTCGACAAAATTTACAAAAAATTATCAGCAGCAAATTACTAAATGCCCTCCTTAAAATTTACAAAATAGTGTTAGAGATTCTTTGACTTCAATGGTTTAAAGCTTGCACAAAATAATCAGAGACCTTTTAAAGGGTTTGTTTATGTAACAACCCTAAAAAATGTATCATAAAAAAACATTACCAATCATTCTTGTAAGAAATACCTTACATCATTTTTTTTATTCCATTGTAATGTTTCATTCCTTTTCCAAAACTCTGGATAAGGTTGGATTTATAAAAAAAAAATGGCACGTGACTAAAGCGTCCTTGTTCCATCGGATAAAAAGTTTGTAACGCGTTTTTAATTTTTTTTTTTTACTTAAAAATGAAAATAAAAACGTCATTTTTTCTTGAAAAATTTTCCAAGAAATTTGAAAACAATTTTCTACGACCAAAAGTTACTTAGTTATATAAAAACTTTGCCAGCCCCAAATTGTGCAAGAATAGAATAGTGTATAAAAGTTTGTGCATAACAAAACTTGTACTTTACCAGAGTTATACCTATAAATAAAAAAAAACATCATAAATTGTCATTGTGGTTTTTCCAAATCTGAAGTTTAGTCCATATGGTTTAAAAACATTATAGATGTCCATGTGTTTTTAAAACTTTTGACGATTGATCCTTATTGTTAATTCCGTTAACTGAATGGCATTTTTGTCATTTCACTATCACAATGATCATTTATGGTGTTTTCTCTTATTTAATAAAAAAAAGAAATAATATGTAAAGGCTCTCTCTCTCTCTCTCTCTCTCTCTCCGATAAACAAACAAGCTCAGAGGCTGATCAAAAACAATGATGATATTTTTTTTGAGGATTTTTGTTAAACACCTTGTGTGCGAGATTCGAAACTCCACTTCATCACGTAATTTATTCGTAGAAGTATTCCATTTCTGATATACTACCTCCGTCCTAAATTAATTGTCCACATTTAACTTTTGAAATCTTTATTATTCAACTTTGATCTTAAATATTTTTTTTGATGAAAAAACATCATAAATGGTCCCTGTGGTTTAGAAACGTCATAGCTGTCCCCGTGCTTTCAAAACTTTTGACGATTGGTCCTTATTGTTAACTCCGTTAAGTTTTGTCCGTTAACTAAAGGGCATTTTCGTCATTTCACTACCACAGGGACCATTTATGATGTTTTCTCTTATTATTATTATTTTTTTAAATTAAATATAATTATATAATTTAATATGTAATTTAAATTAAATATAATTATTTAATTTAATATGTAAAAGGTCTCTCTCTCTCTCTCTCTCTCTCTCTCTCATAAACAGTAAAGACACACCTTTATCTTCCTCCCTCACCTCCAAAAACTTTGAACCCCATCTCTATTACAACTGGAAGCTGCCACCACCACCTTCTGCCACCACCACCATCGGATGCCACCGACCAAGGTAAGTGATTTCCTGCCCCTACCCCGATCAAAACCCACAGATCCACCGACATCCCTTCCATCAGCAACCCTAAATCAGATTTGTGGAAATGAACCCCTACACCTCCATTTTTTCCGACAACACCATAACCACCACCGATTATCACCTCCCGTCTATTTCCTCCCTATTTAGCCTATCCCGTGTTCTCCATCTCATCCCCAACCGCATGTAATTTTTCCAATGGTTGTTTCTTTCCCACGAGCGATAGTTGTTGAACCTCCGCGAGGATCATCATCATCGGACCTTTAAATCCACCATTTCTAACTGAATATGAAATCCATCCTCACCACCCACCTACCCCTCTCTCTTTCATCCCATACGAACATACGAACATACCCATCTTCTTTCTTCCTGTAGAAAATCAAACATATGAACATACACTCTCTCAAAATTAAACCCTCTGCAAATCTATGATCTTTGATATAACATATAGAGGAAGAAGAAGAAACTAGGGTTCTTGAACTTATTGAAAATCCCCATAAAAAAGACCCAAAACACCATTCCCTTATTAAAAAATCCCCATACCTTCTTCTTTGATTATGATTTCAACTTTCCTCCCTGTTTTGAAACGACTACGATACCCAGTTACAGTAAAATCGTTACTCACTCGATCAGTCATCCAGGTGTGCGTGAAGATCTTTATGCTAAAGGATTTGGGCCAGTTTCTCATTTTTTCACTCTGAATCGATCACGTGTGTTGATTGGTGTAAAAAAAGTCGTGAAGAACAATGGATTTTGGGTGTAAGCCATTGAACCGGGTATTCTGATGTAAGCTTCAATTTTGAATGCAAGCTTCAAAAGTGTCATCAGCTCTAGCAGAAACAAGACGATATGGAGTGCAAACTTTAACTTCTGCTTAAGTTCTGATTTATGTGGTGTTTTTGTGTGTTAGATTAGCATAAAGATGGTTCTAGTTTACAGTGGTTCATTCAAAATAAGTATGAGAGAGAGACCTTTTTATATATTATATATATATAAGAGAAAACATCATAAATAGTCCCTGTGGTAGTGAAATGACGAAAATGCCCTTCAGTTAACGGACAAAACTTGACGGAGTTAGCAATAAGGACCAATCGTTAAAAGTTTTGAAAGCACAGGGACCAACTATGACGTTTCTAAACCACGGGGACTAAACTTCAGATTTGAGGAAACCACAGGGACCATTTATGATGTTTTTTTTTTGATAGATAATACTTGATGCAAAATATATGAATGGATTGTATTTTAAATGTATTTTCATTGTTATAAGTTTAATCAAGTAATATATAACACAAATAAAAATATTTAAGGTCAAAATTGAAGAAAAAAGACTTCAAAAATCAAAATTGGACAATTAATTTGGGACAAAGGGAGTACAACCCAAAATCAATGACAAATTAATTGAAGCAAAGAGAACCTGATATTTCCTTTGTTACCTGGACTTCGGGTGGTGTGTGTTTTATATATATTTGCAGGTTCAGTTTCATCTCTTTTGCTCAATCTCAAACGCACTGTGTCTTTAATATCAAACATGAATTGCTCCATATCTCTTGATCTCTTCTATAGATCCAGATCCATATCTTTGTCTCTTCTCGTCATCTATAATTTGAAAATATGGGATTTTCTTGTTTTGCAATTTTGGGTTTTTCTTGTTCTGTTATTGGATATAGATGAACAGAATACGTATGTTTCTAGCTTCCTCAACATCTGATTCTGCAATGGGCCGAAAAGCTGGTGGAGAGAGAGAGTTGACATCGATTTTTTGGTTTATTTTGAAGATGCAGGTTTTTCTTCTCAATGGAATTCCTTGGAATGAAGAAGATAATCATGAGAGAGAGAGAGACTTTACATATTATTTCTTTTTTTTTTCATTTTTTTAAAATAAGAGAAAACATCATAAATGGTCCTTGTGGTAGTGAAATGACGAAAATGATCTTCAATTAACGGACAAAACTTAACGGAGTTAACAATAAGAACCAATCGTCAAAAGTTTTGAAAACACATAGACCATCTATGATGTTTTTAAACCACGAAGACTAAACTTCAGATCTGAGAAAATTACAGGGACCATGTATGATGTTTTTTCAAATAATTATTATACTGTTGTTTTATTTGTAATTCTTTGATTTCAATTATTTCTTTTGAACAAACAAAATTATTAAACCTAGCAAGCCATTAGAAATAAAATGAAAATATATAAACAAAACGACGGAGAAACAATTTGGTCAAAAAATTAGTAAAATACTAAAAGTCACAACTTTTCAAAGGGTATATCTGGGAATGTATTTGTTCTGTCATTGCAAACCTAATAGGATTCTAATAATCTAACAGTCATTCTCTTGGGGTATAGGGGCGATTCTTCTTCTAGATCAATCCTGTTATAACAACTTGTACATCATGTAATGTAACCTATACAATATTGATCCAATGACTTCACTCTAATTTGACACGCCAAACGTTGAAATTTTGGTCATTTCCTCACAACAAAACAAGATTTTAATAATTAAACACTCACTTTCTTGGATAACCCCTTCTCCAAAACATAATACATCCCGCAATAAAACTTGTACATTTATATAATAAATTCGGTGGGGTCCAAATACCGATACAATTAATTTTTTTTTTTTTTTTTTTTATCAATTACATAACTGTTATCACTTATTAAAACGAACTCAATCCATTGAAGGACTCTAACTAATCAATAATTTGAAACAATTTCTATGAACTATCTTATATACGTGATAATGTAATTTAAACAAAAACCTAGGAATTATCACTAAATCATAAACTAATCAAATAAGTCAGTCACCCATGATGTACTTATATAAATAAAAAAAGCCCATCTCACAATAAATTATGTGATTTTTAAGATAACTAAGTGGTCCCCCTAGTAACAAAGTAACAAACACACAAATCTTGATCTTGCTAAATTCTTATAATAAAAAAATATAAAATGTATCATCCAATGTGGTCCTGGTAATAACAAATTCATCTAGATTTGATCTCTAATTGGTTTCAAGTTGATACTAAAATTACTGTTGACTATTACATTTCGTATAAAATATAAGCATTCAACTTCTTTAGACTTGAAGATCTTTGAGAGAGATGAAGATGAAGATGAAACGTACATTGCCATTTCTGGCTATGGTGATTGGTCAAATTGCACAGGTGGGGTTGACTTTAGCTGGGAAGAAAGCTATAGAAACCGGGATGCATAACTTTTCTTATGTTTTCTACTCCAACTTTTTCGCATCACTTATTCTTCTTCCTACTTCTTTTCTCATTCATAGGTACCTACTACTTTCCTCTTCTTCTTCTTCTTTTTGTTTTTTTATTTAAATCTTGAAAGAAATTTAGATTATAATTTTTTTTTTAATTTTTGTTTCGCAGATCACCGAATCGCCCTCCTCTAACTTTATCGGTTGCCGGTGGTTTTCTTGTTGTTGGCATACTAGGGTACCTAAGATTTATGATTTCGTATATAAAAAAAGTTATTTAATTTATGATTTTATAACAAGTTTTTTTTTTTTTTGTTAAAAAAAAATATATTTTCAGGTTCATGGTACAGGTGGTTGGGTATGCTGGACTTACATATGCTTCTGCTACAGTTGCCACAGCGATTCTTAACCTCATACCAGGATTTACTTTTATACTTGCCATCATATTTGGGTAATCAACAATCTTTATTTCACATTATTTAAAAAAAGTTACTATATAATTAAACAGGACATAACATACAACATACAAGTTTATATTTATACTGTGTTTGACATGCATTGAACTGGGACCGAGACTCATGTCAACTCATGTCACAGGACTAGAACTGCAAATTTTTTGCCGCACCCAAAAAGATGTCACAAGATGAGACAGAGACTCGCTCTCGATCTCGATCTCTCGTTTGTGCAAAAGACGTAAATGCCCTCATCCTTATCATTGAAAACATCCCTAGAAAGCTTGTCTTGTCCCACGTAACAAATGCAGCCGAAGGCTGCATTTGTTATACATGACTGGACAGGACTAGACAAGCTTTCTAGGGATGTTTTCAATGATGAGGATGAGGGCATTTACGTCTTTTGTACAAACGAGAGATTGAGATCGAGAGCGAGTCTCTGTCTCATCTTGTTACATCTTTTTGGGTGTGGCAAAAAGTTTGCAGTTCTTGTCCTGTTGACATCAGTCTCGGTTTCAGTCCAATGCATGCCAAACACAATACAAAGTTAATTGACTTTGTGATTCTTTCAGGGTAGAAAGACTAGACCATGAAGGGGTAACCAAGTGGGCCAAAATCATTGGAACCCTAGTTTCAATTTTAGGGGCTATAATTGTAACTTTTTACATGGGCCCCGCAATTATAACCTCTCATTTAACTTCAATCGCTCCACAACATCTCCTTGGTCAATCATCAGAGTTCATCCTTGGTGGAGTGTTAATGCTAATCGACTGTGTCTTAGCTGCTTTATTCATTATTGCACAGGTAGATTAGATTATTAGAATTAGATTACTACCAACACAGGGGTAATTCAGTAATTTCACAGGTTGTGTTACTCACGATAAAAACATTTACAGGCAGTCATCCTCAAGAGATACTCAGCAGTCCTGATTTTGATGTTGGCTTATTGCTCGATTATAGCATTCCTTTCGCTTTTAGCTTCATTGATTTTGGAACATGATTTGAGTGCATTTAGTCTACAGTCTAAAATTAGGTTTCTTGCCATTTTGTATGCGGTAAGTTGAGAAAAAGAAAAACTATGAAATTAGTCAAATGACTAAACTACCCCTGTGTGATGGGTGATAATGATAATGTAGGGTTGCTTTGGGGCTGGTTTTCAACTCACAATTGGAGCATGGTGTGTGAAGATGAAAGGGCCACTTTTTGTTGCTATGTTTCATCCATTAGGGATTGTGATTGCAGCTATTATGGGTGTTATATTTCTAGGAGATTCTCTCTATCTTGGAAGGTAATTAATTAATTAATTAATTAATTAATTAATGAGATGTTGTTGACACTTTGTGTTTAAAATATTTGGCAGTTTACTTGGATCAGGAGTGATTGTGATTGGATTTTATGGTGTAATGTGGGGAAAAGGTAAAGAAGATAGAATTGTTGAAGGGAATATGATTGAAAGCTCAAAATCTCCTCTTTTGCAAGATGACATTCATGATGATAATGTCATGCTACCATGATGATAATTTATGGAAAGATTTAAGTTTTATTCTATTGTAAGACCTTTTGTTGTATGATATGATGTTTTATTGTTATTACTTAACATTTATAAGATATAGTTAACTTCTGTATCTTCCTCATGTCATGAAATTTATAAAAAAAAGTTAGAAAACAATTTGTAAATACCATGTAACAAGTTTTTCCTACATTCTATTTTAGTAAATCCATTAGTGGCATTACACTAGGGAAAAATAAGAGAAATCTTGTGGACCAAATCAAGACAATCGATTATTTGTGATGATGATCATGGGCATACTTGAAAATTTTCCCATAAAAGGAAATGTCATAATTTTTCATGTCATGATTTATCTTTAAGTACTCAAAAACATGAAAAGTCATATATGCATCAGGAGTTATTTGGTACAAGAACCTAATTGTCATTGCTCTATAAAACTTAGTATTTTCATTACTATATAACCTATTTCACCAAATGACAAAATTTGTAAAAGCACTAACCTATTTAAAGAATGAAGGAGAGGAAAAATACCGATTAGGGTTTGTTCTATATTTCAAGAATTAATTAAAAAGATACATGAGGGGTCATCTATTTATAACGTATAAACTCCTAATTCTAGAATAAGGACTAATCCTTATCTCTCAAGTTAGAACCTTTTAAACATATAAAACTGATCAATGAAACAATTCCTAATTAACTAATGGGAAAATGACATAAATGCCCTACAAACTTTCTAGGGTTTACCCGTTGAGTCCCTAAAGTTTTTGTCGGGCTTTCTGGTTCCCTAAACTAGGATATGACCTGCTCTTTTAGTCCCTGTCAACTTGTAATAGCCGGTTGAGTGACCTTTTAGACCAAAAAAACTCACATTGTGCCCCTATAAAGCCAAAAAAATAAGTATGGGGATCAATTCGTATATATAAAAAAAAGCCCTCTTTCTTTTCTTCTAAAGCGTATTTGTCAAGAGATGCATCTGGTTCTCCCATGGACTTTTTCAACAACGATTTGCAGAAATAGTAACTATAAGAAAGTAAGATCAGAAAAGATCTGGGAATGAGACATGTTGTGTTGCATATCACCACAACTGTTGTCTGAAATGCCATACAAATATTCAAAATCAAGTATCTGATGTTACGGAAAATCTTTTTGCAATGGCAGCCTGGGATATATGACCACAACTGTTGTCTGAAATGCCATACAAATATTCAAAATCAAGTATCTGATGTTACGGAAAATCTTTTTGCAATGGCAGCCTGGGATATATGAAGGGACATGGTTGCGTTTCCACAGCTGAAGCATTTGGATCAGGTGCTTCTCGACTCTGAAAACGTGTAGATGGTTCTTACTCCATTTCGTGGAGAGGTTGAAATGAGTTGTGGCAGTCAAACATCTAAAAATCGGTGTTATACTACCTACTATTGCCCCAATTAATTGCACAATAACAATCACGTCGATTGACCACTTATAATTTGATTTTCCATAATCAAATCTCGATTTATCAACAAACATAGCTATCAATTCAGTAAATAAAATGCAAGCACAGATAGCGCATAGAACCCCAAAAGCAGTGTCAAAGCTACTGGAAATGGGCTTTAGAAGAAAAGAAATGAGAGCCTTTTTTTTTTTTTATACGAATTGATCCCCAAACTTATTTTTTTGGTTTTATAAGGGTACAATGTGAGTTTTTTTGGTCTAAAAGGTCACTGGACCGACTATTACAGGTTGATAGGGACTAAAAGAGCAGGTCATATCCTAGTTTAGGGACCCATAAAGCCCGACAAAAACTTTAGGGACTCAACGGGTAAACCCTAGAAAGTTTGTAGGGCATTTATGTCATTTTCCCTTAACTAATTCTACATTGATGCATAAAATCAAACAGATTAGGCAAACTGCTACTACTCATACAACAATCTTGTTTTACATCTAAACTATCATGGAATCCCTATCTTTAAAGATGATTTATGCAAGACAATAAGAACCTAGTCAAGAAATACACACACAAAAAAAAAAGATTAAACAACAGTTTGTAAATAACATCTAACCTTTTAGAGAATCAGTTAGTTGCATTCCACTAGACAAGTACTGATGTTGGATAAGTTGGCCTGCAATGAGCTGGCTGTAGCTAGGAGCTGACTTCCACTAGTTATCATTTCCTTAGAGCAAGAATTAAAAAGATACATAAGCAAAAGCACACAAAAAGTCAACATATTGACTTCCAGAAAAAAGCACACATCTTTACCTTTTTTTTTTTTTAATTCATTATGTAATGGTCAAAAGTCAAACCACATAAGTATGTCAAAACCAAAGGATAGAATAGATGTTTCGACGCCTCTGAGAAGGAAGAGTCAATTGCCTCCTACACTTTACAACTAAAAAATCCACATGTCAAATTGTGTCATTGTATTTCTAGATGTTTTTTATGATTATAAAAAAATTTGAAGTCCTTTCACCACATTATCTGATCATGTATCAAGTCAAACTCATATTGTAGAATGTGAAAAAGCTCTACAATAACCATAATGTGTATAATAGCAAATGCATATTTCTTTATACAACATTGATCAAATGAAAAATTCAAGGGCTGTATAACTCGCATAAGTACATGCTAGCTTGTTTCTTTGTTAAATATATAAAATACCTATCAATAAAAGCAAAAAAAAGAGGAATCTTGTTGACCCAAATCAAGACACTCAATTATTTGTAATCTTGGAATATTTCCCAAAAAGGATGTGGATTAATTTCCTAAATAGGAAGGCACTAAGTTTGTCAAGTTTTAACTTTCCCTCCTCTACCCATTAAACAAAACTTGAAGAACAATATTGGATTCATGTTATGGTGATATGGTTTATGTGGAATCTTAAGAATCTAATTGCAGTATTCAAGTATCAATGGATAAGTTAGACAGCAAGAAGCAAGGTGGAGGATGACCTCTTCAAGTTCTTTACATTACAAGATGCAACTGAGCATGCGCACAAGTGGTCAACTCTTTTGACTTGTTGACAATTTCACATTATTGTTTTGAAAATTTCCTATTTTTCATATAATATTTAATGGAAATTCACAAGATATTCGACGCTTCCCACCCAAGAAGAGTTGGTTGTCCCCTACCTTTTGAAGCTAAAAAAGGTTCAACTTTAAAGATCATAAATTCCATTACATGGAGTTTTGTATTTCACATTTTACAGGATAATATTCTTTAGGGTTATCACTTATCATCATCCTTATTACCTATCAGCATTACAGCTAAATTCTTGAAAAACCTTACATTTTATACAAGGTTTAATCAAGAATTGAAGTGTTGTAACTTGTCTTAGAAGTTAGAACCTATGATCAGATCTAATTTGGTTGTAAATGTTTTTTAAACCTAAGAGCTTTAAAGTAAAATGATGACAACACACCATGTTAGTTTTTTCTGGTATGCTGGACTTAAAATGGCATGAGAACTGGGAAGCACGACCAAAGTTAAGCCCTTTTTGAGAAGTTTATTAGGAAATAGATGTTTAGGATTCATTTGTTTAATCATAATAGTCAAAGGCTATGAATATTATAGTATTGTTCATTACTATGCATCAGTTAACCCACGCAAATGCATCAAATCTTGTACAGTACAAGCATACCAGCAATTAGCACAACTATACCAACTCATCGCTCGTATTGGCAAATAATCGAACACCTGGTGTTCAATTTGTTTTTCTACTCATACGATTACTACGATTCATACCAATCCTTTTCCTTTAACATATCGATAATCATATGATCGTAAACCTTTCTACCATCATCGTTCGCTACGATTCATCACGAACGTACTAGCAAAAGAAATTGGATTTGCACAATTTAACTTTGAAATTATACCTAAAGGTTAAGACGAAGATACAAATACCATTTGTAGAAATCCATTTGCAGAATTCTCTGTTTAATGTTATGACATTTAGCCGTTGGATTCATCGCCCATTTCTGCTCGCATTCTTTGTCCTCTTTTCTTTTAAGAACATTTGTGTGCCACACAGAAATGTTAGTAAATTGATTATATTTCAAAAAGTAGTAATTATATTAGTTTAATTCAATTTTAATTCTATATAAATATGAATATTATGAGAATTAAATATGTACCACAAAAACTAATTAACCTTTATAAAAAAAAAATTGCCAATTATTTTATCATCATTGTATAAAACAAATAAATCTAAATTTTAAAAAGTAAGAACAAGTCAAAAATCATTCAACGTTCTTTCAAATCTGTAAAACCCCATAAATTGATTGATGAAAAATAGATAGTTACTTTAGCAATATAGTTTTTATAATGCATTAATATTTCCGTTTTGATACTTTCATGTGTAGCCAGTAAAATAACGAGAACTACATAGAAAAGAAAAAATTTATCGTCTTTGTTTAACTTGTCGACATGGTATTTAAATAAAATTAAAAGTACATAATAAATTTATAAAGAATTACAATAAAAATATAAATCTGGATGGGTAAAGTATTTAATTTATATTATGAATGACGTATAACAGTAGACACAAGGTAGATTTTGATTTTGGTGGGGTCATTTTAAACAAGAGCCACCAAAGAGGCAAAGACCTATAAAATCATATCATAGCTTAAAGACACCATTACCTACTAAAACTATTGGACCCTATTCAATATAGTATAGTAATACACTACCTTTTATGTTGATTTTATTTAAAGATATATTTATATATTTAAAAGTTTCGATTACTTAATATTAAATGTTCGATTTGAAAGTATACTCTATGAAATGATAAGTGGCCAAAAGTATATTTTTATGTGTAATCTGACCATGTGGTTATGACCCATAAATCAATGAAATGATAAATGGCCAAAAACCATGTTGGTATGACCCATAAATCAAAGGATAAAATAAGTTGTTACCGCATGAAACATACTTTCTCTTTATTTTTAATAAATATATATTATTTTAATTGTTCATGAAACTTACATTATTTTTTGTTACATTTACGATGAAGATTACAATTTTGGAGAGTTTATATGTTAAAAGATTCATCTTGTCTATATGGTTTTTAGAAGATCAAATTTACTTCTTCATTTTTTTTATCAAAGAAAAGTCCATTCGGTTTCAATTTTACGTACGTTTGGTTATAAAATGACATCTTTATCATTTTTATTTCTTTTATATTTTTCTTAAATTAAAACTATTTAAAAAAATAGGGTAAATTACACGGATGGTCACTGTGGTTTGGGGTAAATTACGCGCTTAGTCTCTGAGCAAGATTTTTAACTCGGACAATCCGTAATGTTAAAGTTTGTAACCCGTCTGATCCCTCACTTAACATTCTGTTTGTTTTGGGGTTAGAAACTCCCCCTCCCCTACCCCCCCCCCCCCCCAACACACACACACACATGAAAAGCACGTTAGGGGTATTTTTGTCCTTTCATATCTCTCAGGCTTTAAACCTGGTTTGTTCTCTTTTCCCCCTCATTTCTTTTATCAATCGTGTTCTTTACTTTGTTCTCCTCCCTCTTTTCTTATCACAAGCGCTACAAAATCAAGCATGGTGAAATGCAATTGTGGTGATGTAGGTGTTATACGGACTTCAACGACGAAGAGAAACCTGGTAGGGCATTTTATGCTTGCCTGTTACAGGTACGCTGTTGTAACCCTAGTATGTGTTAATCGAAGCTTTTGAGA